GGCATTCCTTGGTGAAAATTACTGAGTAGTCCTTCTGTGTTCCCCTTTTCCATCCTCCAGCATGGAGAGGCCAGCTTTCCAACTTGGCCTCATGGAATCCAGGGTACGGTGCTTTATCTGTCTTGGCTGAGGGTCAAGGTGAGATACCGAAATGCAGAAGGAAATCTGTCAGATGCACTCCTCCTGTGTGCATTTTCCTCCAGGTGTGGCCTTGCCCTAAGTGGCAATGAGCCCACGTCAGGCAGTCAGATGTACGGCTACACTGCTCTTTGATTCCTTTTAAAATAGCACTGAAAACAATTCGGCCCCCAAAGATGGGTTGTTTTTTGTTTTCCCTTGAGCTGGTTTTAATGACCCAGTTGCTTTGTTTGAAAGCTATTTATTTAGACGACAGACATGGAGATGTAACTGGATAAATAAAAAAAAAAGTGAAATAGAGACTTGAAGCAGTGGTTAAAATACAAACACACAGGGGCCACTCCCTCGGACAGGGTGCCCCAGACAGAACAATGGCTCAGAAATTACACTTCGAACCCTCACCCGCCCCTTCCCAAGTTGCTCCAAACCTCAAGGTCCCATGCAAGAAACTGGATTTGGTTGGGCACCAAGCACCCACACGGCCCCTGCTTCCTCTCCACCCTTCTCCTGATTCCCAGGGAGACTTTCACACCCACTCCCGCACCGGAATCCAGCTGCCCTCCACCAAGACAGCACCAGAAGCTGCGGTCTGGGCCGCGATCCAGCCCCGGGGGTCACCCCCGCCCCTCCCCATCGCCTCCCACAGCAGAGGGAACCGCAGGCTGCCGCCCAGGGGCTCCGCGGATGGAAAAAAGGCAAAGTTGCAATGAGGACGCTGGGTGGCTCCCTCCCTTCGGGATGTGCAGGTGCGGGACCCAGCGGGCACAACCGAGCCCTCGCTGCCGCCCAGGGAGTCTCCGCTTCACCTGTCCATGCCGCTTACATACACCTCCATCAAGTCCGCAATCCCCATCAAATCCTGCGTGTGACATCCCCCCTCTTTAATGGCAAATGTTTTGGAATGTCCAGAGAGAAGAAAATGGACGGCGTGGAGGAAAGACTTCCCGGCCGGGCCTTTCGTTTCACCTCCGGATATCAGAATACTCAGACTGTTCATCCTCCCGCTCGCTGCTTCCAGAAGTTCCCTGGGCCCCGTGGCCGGCCGCTCTGCCCCGGGTGTGGGCGTTTGCGTGGCTCTTGCTACCTCGCTCGCCCTTGGCACCTCGGCGGGTCTCCTGACTGCTGGGCTCCGAGAGGTGGTGACCTGCCTCGCCGTGGTGGCCCCTGGAGACCTTGGTCCTGTGGCCCTGGAGCTGGCGCTCGGGAGGCGCCGTGGGAGGCCTCTGGATGGCCGACGTGCAGAAACTCAAGATGGAGCACAGACTTCCCCAGTTCTGCTCACACTGAGCCTGGACGCTGTGCGTGATGGCCTCCTTCACCTCCTCCCCACAGGTCAGCAGCAGGTTCACCAGGTCCACGTAGGGTCTGGAGATTGAGAGAGAGACCCAGGATGCAGAACGCCTGCAGAGGGCAGGACCGATATACCAGGGGAGGGGGACGTGACCAACGCTCGGCTTGGGTTTGGCTTGCTGGAAGATCTTTCTGGAACTACTTGAAGCCTTTACCCGTATTCTTTGGAGTACTGGTCTCAACCAACATTGACTGGGTGGCCATTACGTACTGAGCTCCATGCCAGGCATTGGAGAGAACTGGAGGCTGGGGAGAGAGCCTACCACAAGATAAAGGGCCAGTGAGGGACTTCCCTGGCGGTCCTGTGGTTAGGAAGCCGCGCTTCCACTGCAGGGGGCCGGGTTCTATCCCTGGCTGGGGAACTAAGATCCTGCATGCCATGCACAAATAAAAGGGCCAGTGACAATTCACAGGTGCGTATGCTAGAAGCCTAGGAAGAATCTCTGGGGAGGGGGGGCAAGAATACCAGCTGTGTGAATAAGACGGCAGGGGAGCTCCGGGTCTGTTTAGGGTGTGCTAACTAGGAGGGTTTTAGCGGGAGTGGAGCTGGGTCTTGGAGCCAGTGGAATACTTAGGCGAATGGTGAAGGGCCTTAAGTGCCAAACTGAGAAGTCTTTATGGCAGGGAAGAGAGGTTGGCTGGCTTTGCACTGGGTGTCCTCCTAGGTGAGCTCTGTACGTGAGGCTCCCAAGAAACCATCTTACCCATGGTCTGTGTTTGCCCCTGGTTTGGGCTTATGGCGATAAAGGGTGTTTGGGGAAGTTTCTGGGTGCACTCTCTTCTGTATCTGGAGGAGTCCAGAACAGGCAGAGAAGGGTGGGGGGATGGGAATTCCCACAGAGCTCTTCCGCTCCTTGGTAGCAGAGGCCAAGGTGGGGGAGTGGCTGTCTAAGCACCTCTATGCTTCCAATCTGGGCTTCCCCCACAACGGGAGATGAGGGAGGGGAGAGCTGGCTGAGAGGGGTCTACGTGCTTGGGACGAGAGCCAGCTGTCTGTGAAATAAGCACGCTGGGATCCCAAGGGGAGGGCCAGTTGCTCAGGCCATCCCAGCTGCCCCGGGTTGTTCTTTAGGAAAGTGCTGGATGACCACGTCATGCAAACCTTTCTCCTGCGGGTGGGAGGTGTGTGCAGAAAACTGGAGCAGTGTGCCTGCTTCTTATATTTTGGGGCCCATCTGGCAAAAGGTACCCCCCGGCAATGGGCTCTCCTGGCCCACTCACTGAGCCTTTCTTACATCTCACTGGCCTTTTTAAGATCCCCAAGGTGGGAGAGGGGTATGGAGTGTTCCATGTGGCTAACCAGCTTTCTTAAGCAGTCCTCACTGGCAGAATTTCTGGATATCTCTGATCACGAGCATTGAAGCTCTGGGCCATCCCTTTGGGCAGGAAATCACTCTGGAACATGAGATCATTTGTAAGAAGGAGAATTCTTTTCCCCTGTGAGCCTGGACCACCTGGGGGGCTGCATTATAGCCCATTTAGTCTTTTCTCTGCAAGTTGACAGTTGTCGCCAAGCAGGAAGAGCAGATTGTGTTTTGAGACTGGTGACGTAGTTTACTGCCATTTTTATGAATTAGGCCTCAAGTTGTAATTAAGTGAACTGCCCTCATTTCATCGATACAAAAAACGAGGCGGGTGTGTGTGTGTGTATGTGTGTGTGTGTGTCAAAGTGGCTTTGGAAGCTTCTGGGCTGGGAAGGCCTGGGGCTGGGCTGAGAGTGGAGAGGAGGACTGTTTTGGCTGATAGAGATCAAGCTGCCTTTTAAGGCCTACTTGATGCCTTCAGAGTCAGAGAGTCTGGGCACGGCTGATGGGCAGGGTGCTGAAACTCTCTAAGGCAGGCCCCTAACCGTGACAAGGACAGCAATGACCCAAGTCTGCTTGAGTTAAGAGACGAGGGCAAGGGGCAACACAAGGGAAATGCTCCCTGCAGGTCTGTTTCCTTCCATCTTTTGAAAACTAGCAACTGACTGCCTCAGGGAGGTCAGGGCCACCGAGTATATCTGCTAGAGCAGCATCGGGATTTTAGCACCTGATCCTACCTGCCACCCCCTGGGGCTAGATGGGCAAATCGCGGAGGCTGAGCATCTGTCCTTTTGGGATGCTCTCCTTCACGTTTCTTTCCGCAGAGTATGGGGAGGGCCCTCTTGGGAAAGCACAGCCTGCCTCTTGGCCTCCTTCGCCAGGGCGTCCTGCCCACCAGATGAGCTCTCCGAATCCCGAGGCGGTCCCGGAAGGCTAGCCCACGCTCTCTTCTGCCCTCAGCGCTGTCGGCTGGGGAGAAAGCTGTGAACTGTGGGGAGGGCTGTGTGTTCATCTAAGCTTGTTTCGAGCTGGCATGGTGCCTTCTCCGGCTGCTAGCTCAGCCCGTGTCTAATGACAAAGCCCAGCTCTCTCCACTGGGAGTCAGCAAGGCTAAAAGATTTTTTAAAATACTTGGAGCGGGACGTGCCTGGAGGCTGCCAGCACTCAGTGACAGGGTGTGTGGTGGCCAAGCGGTTGATATGGAGGAAAAGGGATGGGAAGGGGTGAGGGGAGCAGAGGGTTTGAAGGAAGTCCCTTTAACTGAACGTGTTTTGGGGTGAATGAGGATCAGGTTGAGGGATGCGGGTGACGTGTATTCTGGAGTGACTATGATTTCCTCCTCTCTAGAGGGAAGAGCAAATTCAGTTTTCATTTTCTTATCTGTGGCCAATGTCACACATTCTTAAATGGTCTTCTTGATATCTGGGGACTGATGGGATCTTTTGTGCCCAAATAAGTTAAGATAGCCAAAAACCAAAAACCTCAGTTCAGCTTGAGGTACTAGTCGACGCAGTGTGTAGTCGTGGCTTCAGAAGGGAAGGTAGTGGGGATTTGTGGGGAGCTAGAGGTGCCGGCTTAGCAGGAGGCAAGATGACTTGTATGCAGCCACACTGAGAATTTGAGCAAATGGCCCAGGTTTGCTTTCGGGATTGACCACCAGCATTTCCAGAGCAGGCCTGGGTGGGGGCTATGTGTTGGCTCTAAATGACGTAAGGAGTCCTTTGGAAGTCAGGGCCCCGTGGCCCCATGGACCATGTTTCCGCAGAGGAGATGTCAGAAAGCCACAGTACTTTACCTCTCCTTAAATTCAAGGTGGGGAGGGTGGCGAAAAACCTGAAAACCTTCAGTTCCCCCACAGAAGACGTTTCTCCAGAAAGATAAAGTCTTCTTGGCTCCAAGAATGTACCACAGAATTAAAAAGTAGTGCCCCGTCATCCATTCTTGAGGCCAACAAACTATCTCTAAAGGATGACAGTGGGCTGAGGACAAATGAACTTCATGAGTTTCCCAGCCATGGGGTGTCTGCCTCTTGCAGGGGTACCTTGAAGGAAGGAAATTTCACAGTGCTCTGCTGGTGTAATGGGGCTGTTTCTAAGAAAAGGGAAAAATCCCGCCACACTTGGGGACCACTGAGCCTTTTGCTGGTCTAGGGGGGAGAATGCAGCCTAGGTTACAAGGAGGTTTGAGGTCTATTCCCGACAACTGGCTTCAGAATCACCAATTCCCAAGTTGAAAAGTAGGAATTGAACCTCCGAGTAAGACCTTTAACCTCTTAGCTTCACTTTCTTCCTCTGTTATATGGGGACAGTAGTCTCTGGCTTGTAGCACTGTTGGGAAAGATAAATGAGATAATCCAGGTAAAGTCTCTGGCCAAAGGGCCTGGCTCACTCAGAAGATTATAGTTATTGTTATTGTTGTTGATGTTATTGTTGCTTTGTTTTTCTGTAGGGATTTGGAAGAATAGAAAATATTTTATCAGGCATTAGTGTAACTCAAGGAAAAGCCACATCGGTTTGCTCTTGGCAAGAGCTGCCGGCAGAGCTGCTGGCAGAGATTCATGGTGAATCTTATAATTCTAACACTGCACCAAGGGGCGCTGCAAGACACCTAGAGCCTCATAATCAAGTGGAAAGTGACAGGTGACGGTTGCTGTCCTCTGTGATCTAAGTGGTGTCTGTGGGGGTGGGGAGTGGCCCGTTTAGCGACATAGCTGGGGGAGGCCATGGCACAAACTAAGGAGCAAGAGTTCATAAAATTGTACTGATTTGGCTCAATGAGTCACTGTGTAAAGACTAACAGTGCTATGACTTGTACTGGGCTGCTTAGCTAGTAGCTTGCTTTCTGCCCTAAGTCCCCAAGGAAGGCACCATTGCAACCTTCAGGGGCTACTGTGTTAGAAGCAACTATGTACCCACATGCTTTACTACTCTGCAAAATTTAGGATCCTATAGGGATGTTTTTTTAAGGAAGGAGATGTCCTGGGTTTATGATCGAATTGCAAGTCTTCCGATAAGTACGTTCCTATTTCCTCACGTTGGCATAAAGGCGTTTAGCTGATTAAAGTTTTTGCCATTTGGTTTGCATTTTCTCTGGGAGGGCGTTAATGTTAGAGAAGGTGAACTGGACCTTCTAAAGGAAAGGAGAGCTTATGGAAAGAAAGCTATTGGTATGTAAGAGTGTTAAGTCCTGGAGCCCGACCGCCTGACTCCTTATCCTGGCTTTGCCTTTCATTGTCTGTGACCTTTACCGCAGTGCATCTCAATATTCTCATCTGTAAAATGGAGATAAGAATGGTACCCAGCTCACGGCGCTGTCATGTGGATCAAGTGAAAAATTCATATGAAGCCCTTAGCACAATACCTGGCACTTAGTACATGCTCGGTATATATTATCAGCTCTCGGCCGTCTGCCGGGGCACCTGCATGGCTACTTGGAACACTCAGCACTGCTGGGATCTTGGCTGAGCGGAAGACGAAAGGTATTTCCGAATTCTACGCATCTCACGCTCGGTGAAAAGATTTCCTGTGGCTACTGCTTAGGATTTGGAAACCGATGTCGGAAATTTCTTTTGCTTTTCCCGAAGGCCAGCTGGAAGGGGACTCCCAGGGAGTCAGTGCGCAGCTTTCTGAGGTAAACCACAACCTCCCCAGTTTGACAGGAGAGTTCAGACTCTACAAGCCACAGCCCCTCAAACCGAGGAAGGCTCTCTTCCAGCCCCAGCAGGCCTCCCCTTCCTCTATCCTAGTTGCACCATTCCCTTCCCCCCCACCCCCCTGCCCCCAGAGGGCAGCACTCACTCGTGCAGCAGTAAGTCCTTGAAGTGGATCATCTCCACCATCACCCGGGTGTTCTCCTGGGCGGCAGAGCACAGGTCGTGCTTGAGGTAGCATTCCCGCTGTAACTGGAACACCATCTCCTTGATGGCCGGGCACTTCCGGCTTATGCAGCCGAATCTGTGCCGCAGAGCGTGGGCCTTACACTTCAAGGCATCTTTGATGAAGGACTTGCCCTGAGAGCAGAGGGGACAGCGGAGGGAGAGCGGGGCGGAAGAGACCAGTCCTTGCTACACACTTCGACTTTTTTACCCTTTTGGGGCTTACAAGGGATTTTTCTGACAGCTGAACTCCAAGGCCCTGCCGCACACAGACACCCTGGCAGGTGACAGGCTGAGGCTACATCAGGAGGTCCGTCCAGAGTGACGTGATACCTCCGCATTGGGCCCCAAAGAATGTTACTGGGGAGACAAAAGCATCAGCCTCCTTCCTCCTGACCTGCTCTGCTAGCCTTCCTGGTCCTGGGCCACCCGTGACCCTCCATCCTCAAGGCGGCCCACTGTTGGCCGTTTGGTGGCAACGCTTCTGGAACACAAAGGGGAACTTGGCCAGGCATAAATCCAGAACTCCTTGGTGGCGCCCAGCAAGAGTTTTTCTCAAGTAGAAAGTGCCTGCTTGTCCAAATCTCACATCTTTCCTTGTTCCTTCTAGTGATGTCAAGATCGGGTGCTAGCTGGGCCTCCCTTCTCTGTCTCAGTGCCTCCTGCCACCCCCAACCCATACTCTCTCTTGTCTCCTCCTAGCCTTTAAGGAGGAGCATTCTTTTCCTTTTTGAAAGCAATTCGACTCCTTGAAACTGTTAGGGTTATTGCCTCTAAAAGGCCCGCCTGGCACACTGCCTGGCAGCATCTGGAGCCTGAACTGCCCAACTGACAGCCCCTCCCCCATGCTCCCGGCCTCTGAGTGGCGAAGGCAGCCAGGCATACATCTGGCCTACAGTTCTCTTTCCTGGCAACCCCATTAGATTGCTCTTATCCTAGAAAGGAGACAGCTGTTCAGGGTGTGGCGGCGAGCCCGGGCCGGCAGCTCCCTTATCAACCTCTTGGGGCAGAGAGGCACTGTGGGATACCTACCCAGGGATCCCCGCACCCCGCTCACTATAGAAACAAGCCGTCGTTGGAGAGGTCACCCCCTGTTTTTTAGACAGGCCCGGACGTACCGGAGTTGAGAAAGTAAATGGGTTTAGGTTGGAAGTGGGAAGCCAGCCAGCATGTTTATTTCAGTTCTCTCCTTTAGAAACAGTTGAAATGTCCACAGATAGTGTCTGATCACTGAAAAACCACCTCCCCGTAGCCCCCTTTCCGCCGACTCTCCAGTGGGAGCCAAATAGGATGGAGGGTGCTAGGGTGTGCCAGTTTATTAAGTAGTTATGGGCTGAGATCTGACTTGAAAGGGATGCTTCTAACTTGAGAACATACTGCTGTTGGTTGAGAAAAAAAAGGAAGATTAATTTATGCGAGGGCTGCAGTAATATGTTCTTGGTATTCTTCCCTGACATCCTGTGGGATTGCCCTGAAATACACATCTTTCCTCCGGATTTCCTATTACGCTTCCTAATTCCAGTTAATCCAGAAGGGATGCTTTATTAGGGAGTCTCAAGGAGTTCAAACGTTCTACTCCTCTTTCCTTCCCCGGTTTCTGTTTCCCCTGCTGCCACCCCACATCCTCTGTAGGGGAGGCTGCCAGCCCTGTCACATTGCTTTCTGGTTCCCAGGCGTTGCTTTGTCAGGCTCTCTACAGGATGTCAGTACACGGTGACTGGCGATGTTCATAAATCACACCTAAACTGTTGGCCTCATCCAAACACTGTCATGGCTCTCCAATGAAATGGGCGAGGAAGTCTGTAACAACCACAGGGTACTTTATAGTGCATATATGGGCTGGGGAGGACATGAAGGAGATGAGCCTAATGCTCCCCTCCATCTGAAATGTGTTTGGATCGTGGGCACTGGGGCCATAAAGTTGCTTGTTGGGTCCATTTCCTGCCCACACAGCAACTGGGCTTTACCCTGGGGACCCTGGGATAACTGAAGTGGGTCAGGCCCTGACTATATTTATTATATAGAGCAGGACTCATTCAGGGTTCCGACTTTTCAGGTTGGGAGAGGAGGATCTGCTACTTAGGAGGGAGAAAAGTCTGCTCTTCTGGAGGCCCTGATTTATCCACGCTACCTGCCCACACGCCCTCTAAATTTATTTATTTATTTATTTTTGGCTGAGTTGGGTCTTTGTTGCTGCGCGTGGGCTTTCTCTAGTTGCGGCGAGCGGGGGCTTCTCTTGTTGCGGAGCACAGGCTCCAGGCGTGCGGGCTTCAGTAGTTGTGGCTCGTGGGCTCTAGAGCGCAGGCTCAGTAGTTGTGGCACACGGGCTTAGTTGCTCCGCGGCATGTGGGATCTTCCCTGACCAGGGATTGAACCCGTGTCCTCTGCACTGGCAGACGGATTCTTAACCACTGTGCCACCAGGGAAGTCCCCCACATGCCCTCTAGGAGATGATGAATTGCTACAAATTTTGTGTCTCTTTTATTCTTGAAAATAGCTTTCGGCATGGTCAGCTGGAGTCCCAGCCCTTCCGCCCTCGACCTACGCTCCTAGATGTGATGGGCCTTGCAGACTGGGTTCTGGGTAGCCAGCCATCCTTAGGTGTCCCTGAGAAGGTGTTTATTATTTGTTAGGACTTTTGTCTTCTCTGCTAAGAATCCTCAGAGGAGTGTTCAACTTGGTCTCCATTCCACTCTGTGTGTGGAGACACAGTTGGGGCGAGGAGAATTTAGCCTACATGACACGTCCCGAAAGCTGAACTCCAGGAGTGGAGTGGGGAGCCATTGGCAGCCTGCTGCTCACCTAGAAGGTCTCTGGCAAGTGCTAAAACCCACCATGGCGATCGGCTAAGAAAATCTGTTAACAAGTCTTTCCAACGAACATTTCGATCACGCTACGCTAACACAAAACATTCTTGGGGCTCACTATGGTTTTTTACCTGGGCATCAAATTTTCCAGCGTTGTGCAGAAAAGTCATGCAAATTCCATGTAAGCCCCGTATCTCACAAGAGTTGTCCTCGAAACATTCAAACACGCCACACCCCACATCGCCAGCGTTGACCAAGCAGTGCTGGATTTCCGCTAGAATGAGAATTACATACAATCGTATTCAAAATTCTCAGCCATGCTGGGGGAGTGCAGAGAGGCGGGTTGAAATAAAAGTAATGACTAAAAGAAGATTTAAGAAAAAAAGTTAGAAGTGACTATTTCAGGATCTAAAAAGCCAGGGAAAGAAAATTTCATCACTTAATCTACTTATGAAAACGTATTTGTAAATATTTGTAAAAAATTAGCCAAACCTACATTGCGAAAGTCACCATCAGAAGTTAGGTCCGAACACTCCATTTTTCATCCTTCTCATCTTATTAAAGCATTTGTGGGAATACTTAGTTTGAAAGCATAAGATATTTCAGCTTTCTAAACCCCCAGACAAAAATAAAATTTCAACCGATTAGCTTGGTCTTTCCCTTCTGTATCTCATCAATGAAATACCCTTCTCTACTTGGATGAAGCTGCTGCTATTAAATCAAGGCCATTTCCTTCCTGACCCCCAAATGAAAGCGTCCAAAAAGCAGTTTCAATTCAGCTTTATGATTCAACATCTAAAAATCAAAACAAAATTCCTATTAAGGCAGCGCCTCCAAACCATCCGCATTAAAAATACCAGGCTAGGGAAGTTGCGGTTTGCAAGCAAGCTCAGGAATAGAGTCAGATGGGGGCTAGTCTGCAGAAACGCAACCTTCGCAGTTAGAGGCTCCTTTTAAACAGAGATCCGGGGTGAGGTGACGCTTCATCCCCTAGAATTCCCGCGACCCGGGAGTTTGCTGCCCTCCTTCGCACAACGTGGCCCTAATTCGTCTCTGTGAAAGGACAGGCTGAGAGGGAGTTAACTGTCAGGCTGCCGCGCGCAAAGCCTGTCTTCCTTCCCTCCCCCTACCCAATTCCTTGACTTAAACCAACCACAAAATTACATCAGACAAGTATATTTTGGAAGAAGGGCGGGGTCGGAGGAGATAATCCACATTCAGATTAAATCTGCGGAGAGAATGAGGGGCGTGTATTTATTGAGGGTCACCAACTAGCGAAAATCACGTTCGATTCTCAGGGAAAGCTCTGGGACGTTCCCTGAGGGGAGGGTGGGCGAGGGTCCTAGGATGAGCGGGGCGCGGGCCGCGGGTGCTGGCACCCGCCTATGGAGGTGGGAGACTCCCGGACGACCCCACGCGCGGCCCCGGCCCGCCGGC